CAGGAACCTCATCAAAAAAATGAACAGGTCAAAGGTCAAGCTAACATAAATATTTGTTGTAATACACATGTGTACAATGCATTTCAGCATGGGACAATGTGACCATCATCTGTTCATAATGTCATTATGGCAATTTAATGCACACATACAGTCCATTGTACCACAGAAACCATATCCCATGTTTGGGACTACGGTATGTGTCAGGGCTGTGTGACCATCTTCCTATCATAATGGTATCATGGTAATTTAATGTGCTATCCTGACATCAACAAGACCTGGTTGAATACAAGCACTCGCACTCGCGGCCTTTAACTAAAATTGAGCATGACAGACACACATTATTCACATTGTCACTCTAACCATTTGAGCACCATTGTCAATTTCAGTCATCACCTACAAAATAGTTTTTATAGTCTTCTCTTCCTGACATTCCTCACGTTTTAAACATGTTTAATAAAAAAAATAACCATATTCCACAACAGAAACCAGATTCACTGTTTCAACTACAGTACAATCACCAATCACCTCTATCTTTAAAACCACCAAAGCCGTGTCATGTTAAAAACTAGTTTACACACAACCTAACAGAGGAAATCAGAGGGTGTAAAAATAGCATCATTTTTTAGTTATAAAAGGCAAACAACGATTTTTCTTGGATTGCTACAGTGAATTTTGGGGAAAATGTAATTCACTATGTTTGCTGTGTATATAGATGTTCATTCTGTCTGCTAACATATTAAAAGCTGATATCGAACGCCACTGAGCGGCTGACCCAAACAAGGACATGTATTATTAAAACTTTTCATAATAACCGCATTTCCAGGGATGCATGGGAGAATCTGTACCAGTCTAAGCACTCTCATTGGATGATTATTATTGTTTGAATTTATTTTTATTATTATTACGTACATTATTGACTTCCTTGCAGAGACATAAAGTAACAGTTTGGATTAAACTAAATCTTAGCCCTGGATCCACAGCGTCATCAGAGTCAGTGGTATTTACATTTGATTGCTGGCTTCCCTCTCAAATACTGCAATGGATTCTGGTATAGCGAAATGTGGATGGAATTTGCTTGGAATTTATTTTCGCTATTTTCGCTGAAGGGATGATTCTGTGAAAATAAAATCCAGCGAATATACTTTTTTTCCTATATTTCACATTAAACGCAGTGAAAAATCAGTGAAAATAAGTTCCTCACAAAATGCCCAAAAAGCCTTTTCAGTGAAAATTAATTCCATGGAAAATAAAGTATTTCACAGTAACTCTGATTGTCTATACTCTGCAAATTAAGCAAATTGCATCAAATTTGTATTGCAATTTTTCCAGACAGTTACTTGTTCATGTTTTGCTCATCTGCTTGATAAAAAACAGTGCGCACCAATTTGCTGTGCATCCACCCTGGTTTTTCTATATCAGGATCCATTGTGGTGTTTGAGTGGGCAGCCAGCGACTGAATGAAAATATTACTCACTGGAAAAACTAAACCTATGATAAACAGTAATTTTGAAGACTCAAACGACTGTTTAAAATAAAACATGCCCTATCATCCATCTCAGCAACACAAGTTGTGTCTTGTCGTGTGTGAAATGGGACCCATAGCAATACTGTGGAATACTTTATATTCGCTGGAATTAATTTTCGCTGAAAAGGCTTTTTGGGCGTTTTGTGTGGAATTTATTTTCACTGATTTTTGATGAGTTTAATGTGAAATATAGGAAAAAAAGTATATTCGCTGGATTTTATTTTCACGGAAACATTCCTTCAGCGAAAATAGCGAAAATCAATTCCAAGCGAAAATAAAGTATTCTACAGTATTATGTTTTCAAATTGTTTGTTTGTTTGTTTGTGTGTAACATGGAATGCGCTTTGAATTATGCCAATCAGGCAAACTAACTATGACATCATCTTACTAAATACACAATTAACAAACAATGTCTACTCGGGTTATTAAATCACATACAGAAAGCCTACAAAATAAGAAAAGTAAAGGTGAAAATCAATTGATGTATTGTTGTGCTATATTTTCAGTGTAATTTAGTTGTTGTTTATTTGAAATCTATCATTGTATTGTATGTGTAGTTTATTTTTCATCACCAATCCTCCTGTTAGACCAATGGTAATGCTTATTGGCACAATATATTATTGTATTGTATGTGTAGTTTATTTTCAAAAGCTTTAATACAGCAATTACCAAAACTGAAATGTCAGATTTCATTAAGGTGGTAATAAAGCATTATTCAATTCTATTCTATTCTATTCTATTCTATTCTATTCTATTCTATTTTATTCAATTCTATTCAATTCTATTCTATTCAATTCTATTCTATTCTTACACATATACTCATGATTGTTATGCAAAACTGAAACTGTAAAAAACAAAATACTGTGAAATACTTTACTTTAGCTGGTATTAATTTTCACTGAAAAGGCCTTTTGGGCATTTTGTATGGAATTTATATTTGATGAGTTGAATGTGAAATATAGGAAAAAAAGATTATTCACTGGATTTTATTTTCACGGAATCATTCCTTCAGCGAAAATAAATTCCAAGCGAAAATAAAGTATTCTTCAGTATACTTAATTGCATTTTGATAGTTTTAATTACAGGGATTTCCTGACACATTCAAGTATGATGCACCGTCACAGATTACTATTTAAATACTGAAATCTTTTCATACACTGTATCTGCGGTTTAAATTATTTGCTCAAAGTCATAGTAACACAAACCCCACATCTGGGTAAATATATAGATACTGATAGTTGCTGTAAATAGATCCAGGATTCTAAACTACAAACATACTATTTTGACAGCTAAATTAAGTGCACAGATAACCCATGGCCAAGAGAAGCACTGAATGAAAACGAATCAAGGTCGGAATCTCGGTGGAAGTCACCTTCAAAAAAATAACGTACTAGTAACGAACCGGTACTGATAAGCAGGGCGGCACGACATCTGTCAATAGATCTAAATCAAATATCAACCACATACGAAACTGGGTCGCGGCGTAACGTCTCATTAACTTGAACCTTTTTGCCTCAGTCAACAGTCATAGTAGAGGGACCGTGCTTTAACGCAGATTTCAATGCCGTACGCAGTGTACTACAGAAACATTATTCACAGTAGCCTCAATGCTACTTCGTTTAACTGAAGCGACGACCCCGGCATCGTTAGCAGATACGGATTAAATTAATAACTGTCGGGTATTTGGATCGCTGACGACGAATGACGACACTTGCTCAAATACCTGACGGAACAGTACGCAATGCAATGGGCGTGTTTTTGTTGTGAATTTGAATGTTGATCGATCAGCGATAGGTGTGGTACAGTAGCCTAATGCATCTACGTAAACACTACGCCGCGTTATGGCGCCTAGTACGATATCTGGAGTTACACTGAATCTACCGTACTCACCCGCTCCTTCGCTCGTGTTGTGTGTTTAGTAAAACTTTTGCCCAGGAAACTGCTCCTCTTGCCTCCTTCCGCCATCTTGGAAAGTAGATTGAGTACTGCGCATGCGTCTGTTACAAACTGACGGCGATTTTGCTACGAATGCTGGGAAAACGGTTTCACTCCGAGCCCTCTGTCGGTCGTTACGGTTGAGTTGACTCCGCACAGCTTGGACAGATTTTTTTATATATGTGTTTCAATTTTAAACGTATTACGGGTAGTCCATTTTAAAACTTGGGGCTGGAGAAGAAAAATGTTCGAGGACGAAAAACGGCCAGCAATGTACTAGGAGTAATGCGAATACAAAAACAAAGTGTTACAAATCGCGGCAGACGTATAAACAATACTTTCAGAAAACTAAATTCTTTGTGTTCCCTAGTTGTCAAATTGACAAACCCTTACTAAGTGTTATGGCTGAATCAGATATAATTCAATACAACAGGATTAGGCGCTTCGTTGTTTTTTTTTTTTTTTTTTTTTTTATGAACACAATATATCAGTCAATAAATTTATGTCATTTTAGGCCAGACTTTTATTATTCCTTGTTTCGCGAACCCGCCGAATGAACAGGAGCCGAACATGAAATAGAAATAAAATTTTATTTCAGTGTCATTTCTCGCGCCCGCCGACTTGTAAGTGCAAAAAATTGCTAAGCAAATATTATTTTTATCTTCATTTATATTCACCGCCCGCCGCATACTACCAAATCCAATTTGAAGTTGCATTTTCGTGGGAGTATCATGATCAAAGTACCGAAGTCTCACGCAGATGAGAAACAAGGTTGTACTTGGAATACAATTTTATTTCATTTCTTCTCTCCGATCAATGATCTCACTTACAATTCTTTGAGAATCACACAAATCTGATGGAAAAAAAGAATTAATTTTATTTTTTTCCCACCCTCCTCAAAAAAATTGCCTTATAAAAACCCGAGAAACAAGGAATAAAACAAGTCTTGCCTTATTTAAGTTTACGCACAGTGGATTATACCTCCACGGCCCAATCTAGAACTATTTCTTTAAAGCGTGCGTCTTCTCATTGTTTGATATTAATTACTAGTACTCAAGTTTGATCAATACATATCCATGAAATGCCTTGGATTTGTCATACTAGTACTTTGCGAAATAATTGCCTATTGGAAGAATGTAATGTGGAGGGTTGGCCACGGTTTTTTTAAAAAAAAAACACGTTATATTACTTAAAGTGGCACTTCCAGTTAAGCCTAATCTCACAACAAATTTACTTTCTGGATTAAAATTACAATGGATAACAAAAGATTGATTAACTTTGTAAACAACATAAACAATAGTGTTCCATGATTCTTTGGTGCAATCCCTGGGATTGAGCGGGTCCCCTTTAATTAATTAATTAATTAATTAATTTTATTATTTAAATTAATTAATTTAATTAATAAAAATAATATTAATAAATTAATATTAATAAAATTAATTAATAAAATTAATTTATTAATTAATTAATTAATTAATTAATTAATTAATTTATTTATTTATTTGTTTATTTGAGCAATATGTGCCGAGAACTATATTTTTAAAATAATAAAAAGGTGGCATGGACCTACTTGTAAAGATACTCCAATATCCAATTGATAATACATGGGCAATAGAACTTGTTCACACGTGAAAATTCCTTAGCGTGCACTTCGAAACAACCTACATTCGTGATTCATATTGACCAACCTTCACCCATCCAATTTCAAATTCGTACTTATTTTTGTTTTATCGATACACACATTCGTAGTAATTAAATTAAATAGGAATTCTCTCTTACCGAAATCAGAAAAAATACTAATATTACTCGGCTGGTATGACAATACACTGATCAGCATTGTTCTCGTAAATCGCGCCATCTATCAGCGAAGCGCTTCTATGACGTAATATAGAACACTTTCCCGGAAGTAGCGAGACTGGGTGCAAAATACTTCTGCTTTTATAGCACGATAGAAAATACCAATAGTCGATAGAAGGGAGTTTATTTCTGTGACGTCGATTGGCACGCCCCGAACACAATACCACACATGCAAGTTTACGTTACACCCCAAAACGCCATGCGGGCGCATGCGAAACGCTGTATCTTCGACTTCCGGGAAAGTCGTCACCGCTAAGGGACAACGAAAACAGATCGATGTCGGATAAAAAAAAACTTATTTGCTTTAGTTTGGGGGTGGGGGTGGGGTTTGACCTCAAAAAGTTTCCATCCTACAAAAAAGATTTTATTTTTAATGAAGTCAAAAAAATCTTGGAGTATTTGTAGTTCGTTTTTTTCTATCCAATCATGGACAAAAATAACAGAAAATGAAACAAAATCCAAGACGAGAAAATGGTTTGGTCCGAGTGTAAAATGAGGTCAATTCCAGGGCATGGACCTAGAGCATGCGCAGAACCCAGAAAAGTATTTTGTGCTTGCGTATATTCCCCTTTTTTACACCCACGTAACAACCAACTGCTATGCCATACTACTGTCCGATAATCAGTTTGTATTTAATGGTGAATTCTGACGTCTGACGCCATGATCAATATTTATCAATTACTAGTAAGTTTCAGTGGGGGTGGGGGAGGGACTAAAGGAATTAAGTTTTTTTTTATCCTACATTGAACATTTGATGTTGTCCCTAATAGCGTCCGATATTGTTTGGATTTCTCCCGGGGATCTCTAGCGGTCCGTCAACACTATTTTGTTGTAGATGTACGAAGATGTACGGCATGGCTTACATCCATCATAAAACTCTGCTATTACGTCATTTCACACGATTTAACGTCACAGAAACACTTTGTCGCAAGAGGGCGCATTTTTTTGTAAAGGTATACCCATCACTCATGAAAATATCTTTACAACTTATAACATTCGCGGTCACTTTTTGAATAAGGGATTAAAACAATCTGATTAAAATCTGATGTATTATACGGCGTGAATTTAATTTTCCTTTATATATTTTATTTGTATACTATATATATTTTTTTTTTATTTTTTGTAGTTGTTTTTATCATTATTACGTACCACCTATTTTTTTATTATTTCAATCGTGGGTTTCGCGATTACCAAAACTCTCAAAACAATTGCCGGCAAATAAATAATAAAATAAAGTAAAGTAAAAGAAAATGTATAATAATAATAATAATAATTTTATACAAATATTTTTCTAAAAAATAAAAAAAATAAAGCCCAAACTAAGATCTCATTTTAATCAGATCGGAAATAAGATACTTATAAAAATAAATATGACGTGCAGATATCTCGTTGATTTTGTTACCGTTAGGCAGTGGCATGGCGATGACGTTGACTAACACAGCGCCCTCAAGGTAGCATTCGACGATGAGTTCAGTTGGTGACAATTTCGGGCACAGTGAGCATGAGACTGGAACGGAGTCTAACGGAAAACGAATATTTGATCAACGTCAAATAAAAATAATAATAATAGCTACCCCGGGCACTGGCTACACAATCCTCTATTTTTGTGTTCTGCGTCTTTTCAGATTAAAGCGGGAGGGTCGTCACCTGCGCACGCGCGGGAATTGAGACCCAAGCGACGATAACAACACACGCTAACAACGCAAATGCTTTTGGGTAGACGCTTGTTTGTAAACAATGACACCATTGACGCTGCAGGTCGGCGTTCTTTCAACACCAATCTGACGCATATGCGCAAGGTGTGCCGGGAGTTTGTTCGAAATTTCGAACATTTCGAAGTCAATCGTCGATTGGCACGTATTTTACGGATATATCAAATCGTTTCAGGGGCCTGTTTACTAAATAATGATAAATGAAACTTAGACATATTGTAAGAACAAACTGGACCCAAAATTGCACAAATTTGCAATAAGTTTACGCTGCTAGTGTCTGGTTCGGAAGGCGTTAGTATTTCACTCACTAAACAGTATTTCACTAAAATACGTGATTAAAAAGCAACTTAAACTGTAAAAAGAAGTATCAAGTTCCGTGTATAAACACTAGTGTAAAGAGGCGGCGGAGCGCTAATTTAGCCAAAATCGGCTAGTAAGGCGTCATATGACACATGTCTGTGCCGGGACAGCGCTTCCTGTGACGACACAATGCAATGACACGCTATGGCCAACTGACGCATGCGCAGGTGACGCTTTAAAGATAATATTGAAATAAACAAAGTCCCGTTACCGTGACGTAGGGGATGAGACTACAGCGAGGACTTGAGTATAGGGCAAAATAAGAATACAAGTTACTAAAGGTGACATCTCTTTGAACGCAACTTAAATGGTTGCTCTCTAACCAGCATGGGCTCACCATTGTCTTTGTTGTCAACAATGGAGTGGGGTTGGGCTGGTGTATAGTAGGCCTTTGTTTCCGACCTTACGAAAGTGCAGCAGACCTGCATTTTCTACTTGCGGTTTATTTTGACGATGGACACTCCTTAGAGGTTTATTTACAAACCTTCTTTAGGCCATGTAAAGTGATTGGCTATTCAATGCCAATAACTGCGTAGCGGGGTATTTCCTAACAAATGAAAAGCGCGAATTCATAGAGACACGGTTCCTTGTGTATATGTTTGCTTTCCATGGTTACACGCCAAGGTGAACAATCCGCGATTAACCACCCAATGGGAAGAAAGAGTGTTGAGGCAAAACAACATCTACAGTCTCAGCAACCAACATTCGAATTCAGACGGTGCACGCGATTACCGGTGGACTTCAAACATGGGGTAAGTATGATTCAGATGCGAATAAGTTTGACTAACACATTTACTTGAATTCTTTTAAAAAGCACCGATACTTTGTTTTTATACAAGGTCGTACGTGAGCACACTTTGAGATAAACATGGCAATAATTTACGCAGACTGCTGGGTAAATAGATGCGACTCTGTGGGAGAAAAGTTAAAAATGGTCAGTTCAATTTAAAAAATATGTGTTATATATATATATATGTATATAAACTCCAGATAATAAAACCAATGTGCCGGAGGCTAAAAAAGGGGTTATTTGTAAAATAACTGTAAAACTATTTATTTTCACTAATTTCATATTGCGAGCATTTCACTGGTTTTTAACTTCAAGAATTTGCTAGGAAACAATTAGTTATATTGTAATTTTACATGTTCTCGTGGATTAAATTTAGCAATTGTTTTTGTCAGCGTAAAAAGTGAAATTAAAACCTCGTCAATAATTATAGTATGGTGGTTTCTTGTCAGTAATCTGCCCTACGCTTGTACACGCGTGAACACTCTTGTGTGTTCACTTCGAACCCAACTGTACTGATCATAACCTCGACCCCAAAAAATATATTAGTACCCAAGCTTCCGAACAAGAGACTAGATAAACGCCACCAAACACAGTTAACACAAAATAAGAATTTTATAAGACTCGAACATTATATACCGGCTCGTTAAAACCAAATATACAAGCTAGAAAACGACACGTCATACTTTGACTTCAAGTTGGTACCCTCTCAAAACCAGCTACCGTTTTATCACAAACAATATGCGATACCAGCACCTCGATCATGACATATTGCTGATATAAGGGCTGATATAATGGAACAGCATATCAAATAGGAAAGCCTCCAAATGTGCACTGTACTCGCAGAGCAGAGACCGGATAAGGAGTGGGCCTTGAAACGCTACTATCTTCGCGTTGTATCGTGTTCGACTACCACGGCGTGTGCAATAATAAGTATTTGCTTACACCGTGGCGAATTTCATTTAGTCTTAATGTCCAATATAATAATTTTAATTCCCCTCGGGAAATTGTGATTCAAAATCATGTAGTTTGTTTTCTTTCCAAGTCTATTGTTACGTTTACACGACATCATTTTATCGGAACCCAATGGTCGGCTCCAATAAACCCTCGGGGCTGAACACCGATAGGGCTGAGCCCCGACATGATGGCCCCGATCGCGAGCGTGTATACGCACCTGGCCCAACTATAGGAGTGCCAGCGATTGTTTACCGACTCATAGCAACAAACACGTAGTTCGGATCTCATCAATGAGTGAGGCATTTTATGAGTATTCAGTTGACGACTGAGTTGCGGGTTATTTGGTTGCTTAGCAACCATGCGTGCGAAAGGGATAGATTTGACGTTTATTCTTTTCCGGTCAGAGGGAATAATCAAATATTATACAATATCTATTATCTGTTATCTATACAAGTGTATGTGTTACCTTCGAAAATATGGAAAATGTCTTCTTCATTTTTCAACTGACAATGAAGCTGAAAAAATGTTTTATTTTGATATCCGTGTGTATAGTTATTTCTGGGACCAACATAAAAGTTCATGAATTGGGGGCGGGGCTGATTTCCTTGCACAATGACAGGAGGTGTCGCATGCGCCTTTGACATGAAGTGTCTAACTATCACATTTGCGCATTTGCAATATTGCCGCGTATCGTGTTCCCCTGACAAGTTATTTGCGTCATATCCGGTAAATTCAGAAGGAAGGTACCCGGATGGAGGTAGACATACGAATATGGGTACCTGTAATGCGCGAATCTGATTGGCTGTCATGGTCATAGTAACATAATATGAAATACAGACGTGCGTGTAACAAGTTCGCTTCCAATTGTTATCCGCATGAATATCGGGCCCCGAAATGTGCATCTCTCCGTCCGCCAGTCTCTCAATCTCCGGTATTGCAGTTCATCATGCGTTGCCATAGAGACCAAGTTTCTAGCAATAAGTTTACCCGGCCACCTAAATCTAAATGTCATGTCACGTTATTTCCTTTTATTTCCGTTATTTCAATTCACTCAACTACATCTGCAACTTGTCTTGGGCTGAGAATGGATCCTGAATTAAAATGGTGTAACCATATAGCCTACCTTCGTAGAACATGTGGATTCCGCCTATCACGCCTCGCAAGATCTCGTCGCTGCATT